AATGTTAGCGAATATTGTAAAACAATTGAAGACCTTGAGAGTGCAACTAAAAAGAATTTTTTTACAAAACTAACTAAAGAACAAAAGAAGTTTTTGGAAGAAAAAGTCCATTACATTCTGGTAACTGCCACACCTATAGAGTACCGTGCTGTGATGAGTGCAACTGATCCTCCTGGCAGTGATGATAAATATATTAAAGTCATCACAGAAGATAAATCAGCACATTTTATTCTGGGGAAATATAAGTCATGTCATGTTGCAATAATAAGAACAGGCCAGGGTCCAGATAAAACCGATGAGGTTCTTACTTCAGTACGAAAGACAGTGAAAGCTAAGTATGTCATTGCTATTGGGATATGCTATGGAGCAAAGGAGAGTGAAACAAAAGAACTTGGAGATAAAACAAATTTAGGTGATATCATTGTTGCTGAAGATATTGTCAACACTGAACATCAGTGTAGTAAAAAAACAAAACCAAAAACATACAATTGTGGACACACAGAACTGTATAAGTTATTTATACATGAAGATGTTTTTGAATTTGAAGGCAAAAATGTCAAAGTTCACACTCAAGGTGCCTTGGCCTCTGAGTTTACACTGCATCGCAACGAAGAAGAAAAGCAAAAAAGATTAAATTATGCCTCAGGAGCACTTGGAGGAGAAATGGAAGCAAATGGTATACATCGGGTTGCTAGGAGAGAAAAATTTGAATGGATCGTAATAAAATCTATCGTTGACTGGGGAAATGAAAAAAAAGACAAAAATTGGCAACAGTTTGGAGCTGTCTCGTGTGCACAGTTTGTTCTTAAATACTTATGCCATACGCAACCTAGTGAGGAAAACCAGGCTAGCTTGTGGTGAAGTAATGATTATTATTCTTATTATCACTATTATTATTATTATTATTATTATTATTATTATTATTATTATTATTATTATTATTATTATTATTATTATTATTTGCTACTATTAGCACTACCATGACTAACTTCTTAGATATTGACTCTTGTGTACCTTTCATAGATTATTTTTTACTAGTGATAGACATTTTAGCTTCTTATATTGTTAGCTACAATAGTGTTCCCTCTTCATTTTGTCAAATTATTTTACTACATATAGTGCAGCATGTCAGTGTCTAGCACATACAATCATTATGTTTGAGTGGATTTATTAATCTTCTGAAAGTAGTCTGATTGATTAATTCAAACTGGTAGAATAGGTGTGTCACATGTGTGCCAGTGTATACATATGGGGTGCCTTTTGTGTCAAAACTGACATATTATTTTAAAAGGTATTGTAATGGATTATAATAATATATAATGCATTATATACATTAGTTATTAACTAGTTATGTATTCAATTTTAACCCCTTTAAGAATGGCTGCTTGAAAGAAGACCTTTAGTACTGTGTGCCATTATGCATCAGAACAAGCCACATGAAGGTTTGCACTGCTAACTTCCTTTAAAAAATCCTTTACTATAATCCAACTTCTATATTGAGCCAATGGGTAGAAATTCTCTCTTCCTGGATCAAAATGACCTTGCCTATAGATGGCATTCCTGTTGTTGCATCACACTGATGGATGTGTAGAATGATTTGGCATCAGTTCATATGTACTTTAATTTTGTTTGCGTTATAATATGGTGCTGTATATTGCAGGTCATTCACTGCATTAGTAAGACAATTCATGACAATTTGTTGATAAAAAATAAAATAACAAGTTAATTGCTCACTGATTGTTTTGTGAGCATAAAACACATACTTGCAAATGATCAGCAATAAAGGTTATAATACAAGCCATCATCAAAGTAATTAGGAGACGATAGAGGGTTAAACCTGGTCTTTAATGCATGTTGAAGAGCAGAACAAGGATCGAAGTGAGAATGGGATACTGTAACATGTTCACCTGCAGCTGGTAATA